TACTGTGAAAGGAGATGGACCAGCCAGTGATCCAATTGTTGTTAGAACAGACCAAGATAGTAAGTAATTTGTATTGTAGTATACGTTTCTTCTGGTTGGTATAGCGGTTTCTTCTTGCAGGTTCATGCAGTCATTATAACACTTGATAACTCTTCAGTGGAGAACGTGTGAATTTTTTTTTTGTTGTTATCCTAGTAAAATCATTCATAATATGAATGTAATTATCTTAAGAGAAATTCCCCACCAAGGAATGCACATTTCAGTGAGGCCAAACTCAAATTTTCCAAATGCCTCTTTTATTTTCACTTGTTTCCGATAAAAATAAGTTACTTGAGATTTTAAACAGCTGTGATTAGGTATGCCTTTAGTGTTTATATGTTTGTTCATATAACTAATCAAAATGAAGCATTTTGACAGATGGAACTCATGGTACTTCCTTGTAAACATAACTTCGGGTTATTTTATTTGTAGTTATGCATTATTTACTCATAGACAGTTTCCCATTATGGTGCCCGCAGTTTCATGTTTCGGATTAGACATCATCCATCGTCAGTTGTACAGTGACAAATAAAATGAAAATATGCAATAAATAGTATAACAAAGTGAGATATTAGCAAGAATAATTAATTGTAAAGTATAAGTAATGTTTATGCAAGTGAAACTCAAATTAAATTTCTATATCAGAGCCTAGTGCTGCACCACAAATGTGTGAAGAGAGTGGAAATCTTTTCGTAGGAATCATATATGAAAGCGTATTGACAATTATTGTAAAGTTAACTTGTTTTCAACTTTGCTATCAGAACCTGATGGTGCTCCACAAAATATAATAGGCCAGAACAGCAGCTCAAGAAGCATCTTAGTCATGTGGGATGAAGTTCCAGCTGGTCAACAGAATGGTATCATCACGGGTTACACCATTACTTACCACTCACAAACACAGAATGACAATAACATTGTTCCAGCTGGTGCTGAAGAAAGTGAAAAGGAATTGACCGGTCTAAAGGAGTTCGTCAACTACAATATTACAGTTTTTGCATCTACTGTGAAAGGAGATGGACCATCTAGTGATCCTAATATTGTTGTGAGAACAGACCAGGATAGTAAGTAACTACTTTTTT